CCCAAACTTGAAAATGTCTTTATTTTTTAAACATCTTTATTGGAGTATAATTGCTTTACAATGGTGTGTTGGTTTCTGCTTTATAACAAAGTGAATCAGCTATACATATACATATATCCCCAGATCTCTTCCCTCTTGCGTCTCCTTCCCTCCCACCCTCCCTATCCCACCCCTCTAGGTGGTCACAGAGCACCAAGCTGATCTCCCTGTGCTATGAGGCTGCTTCCCACTAGCTAGCTATTTTACATTTGGTAGTGTACATATGTCCATGCCACTCTCTTTGTCCCAGCTTACCCTTCCCCCTCCCCGTGTCCTCAAGTCCATTCTCTAGTAGGTCTGTGTCTTTATTCCCATCCTGCCCCTAGGTTCTTCATAACCATTTTTTTAAAAGATTCCATATATATTTGGTAGCATATGGTATTTGTTTTTCTCTTTCTGACTTACTTCACTCTGTATGACAGACTCTAGGTCCACCCACCTCACTACAAAAGCTCAATTTCGTTTCTTTTTATGGCGGAATAATATTCCATTGTATATATGTCCCACATCTTGATAGTGTTTTTAGATGCATAAAAGTTTTAAATTTGATGAAGTCCAATTTATCTTGGGTTATTGTTGCTCTTGCTTTTGGCATCATACCTAAGAATCCACTGCCAACTCCAAGGTCATGAAGAGTAACCATGTTTTCTTTCAAGAGTTGTAATAGTGTTAGCTCTTACATTTAGGTATTTCATCCATTTTGAGTTAATTTTTGAATATGGTGTGAGGTAAGGACCCAAGCTCACTCTTTAGCATGTAGATCCATTTTTCCCAGCATCAGTTGAAAAGACTATCCTTTTTCCATTGAATGGTCTTGGCACCCTTGTCAAAGGCCATTTGGCCATACATGCAAGGGTTTTTCTCTAGGCTCAGCATTCTATTCTGTTGGTCTGTGTGTCTATCCTTGTGCCATGAGCAGTTTTGATTACTTTGTACTGTTTTAAAATCAGAAGTGTGAGTTTGTCAGCTTTATTCTTTTTTCAAGATTGTTTTCATTATTTAGGGCCTCTTACAATTCCATATGGATTCGAGGATTGGTCTTTATATTTTTATAAAAAAGGCCATTGGAATTTTTTCAACTCTGTAGACACTTTGTTAGTATTGTCATCTTAACAGTATTAAGTCATCAATCCATGGATATGGATGCCTTTCACTGTATTTATGTTTTCCTTGATTTCTTTCAGCAATGTTTTGTACTTTTCAGTGTACAAGTCATTTACCTCCTTGGTTAAATTTATTCTTGGGTATTTTATTCTTTTGGATGCTATTATAAGTGGTATTGTTTCCTTAGTTTCTTTTTCAGACTGTTCATTGCAGGTATAGAAACACATCTGATTTTTGTGTGTTGATCTTATACCCTGCAACTTTGCTGAATTAGTTTATTAGCTCCCATAATATTTTTGTGGATTGCTGGAATTTTCTATATTATAGGATTATATCATCTGTTAATATAGTTTTACTTCTTCCTCTCCAATTCAAAGGCTTTTAATTATTTTTCTTGACTAATTGCTCTGGCTAGACCTCCAGTACAGTGTTGAATAGCAGTGGTGAAAAGCGGCATCCTTGTCTTGGTCTTGGTCATAGAGGGAAAGTTTTCAGTCTTTCACCATTGAGTATGATATTAACTGTGGAGTTTTCATACATGCCTTTTATTACGTTGAGGAAGTTCCCTTCTATTCCTAGTTTTCTGTTTTTTTTTTTTTTTTTTTTTTTTGCGGTACGCGGGCCTCTCACTGTTGTGGCCTCTCCCGTTGCGGAGCACAGGCTCTGGATGCGCAGGCTCAGTGGCCATGGCGCATGGGCCCAGCCGCTCCGTGGCATGTGGGATCTTCCTGGACCGGGGCACGAACCTGTGTCCCCTGCATTGGCAGGCAGACTCTCAACCACTGCGCCACCAGGGAAGCCCCTGAGTGGTTTGTATCATGAGAGTGCATTGGATTTTTTTCAAATGATTTTTCTGCATCAGTTGAGATGATCATGTTTTTCTTTCTGCTCCTGTATTCTGTTAATGTGGTGTATTACATTGATTGATTTTCTTATGTTGAACCACTCTGGCATTCCTAGGATAAATACCACTTGGTCACGGCATATAATCCTTTTAATATGCTGATAGATTTGTTTTGCTAGTATTTTGTTGAGCATTTTTGTATCTCTATTCACGAAGGATACTGGTGTCTTTGTCTGGCCTTGTTACCGGGGTCATACTGGCCTCCACAGGATGAGTTAGGAAGTGTTCCCTCCTCTTTTAAAATTAATTAATTAATTAAATTTTGGCTGTGTTGGGTCTTCGTTGCTGTGCATGGGCTTTCTCTAGTTGCGGCGAGCGGGGTCTATCTTTTGCTGCAGTGCACAGGCTTCTCGTTGCGGTGGCTTCTCTTGTTGCAGAGCACGGGCTTCAGTAGTTGTGGCACATAAGCTTAGTTGCTCTGAGGCATGTGGATCTTCCTGGACCAGGGCTCAAACCTGTGTCCCCTGCATTGGCAGGTGGATTCTTAAGTACTGCACCACCAGGGAAGTCCTACCTCCTTTTCTAATTCTTTGGAAAAAGTTTTGGAAGGATTGGTGTTAATTTTTCTTTAATTCTTGGGAGAATTCAGTAACAAAGCCATCTGATGCAGTAATTTTCTCTGCTGGAGGTTTTGATTACTGATTCAATCTCCTTACTTGCTATAGATCTCTTCAAATTTCCTATTTCTTCCTGAGTCACTTCTAGCATTTTGTGTGTCTTTAGAAATTTGTCCACTGTCTAGGTTACCTGATTTGTTGCCTACAGTTATTCATACTGTTCTCTTGTAATCCTTTTAATGTCTGTAATGTTGGTAGTAATGTCCCCACTTAACTTTGATTTTAGTTATTTGTATCTTCTTTTTGTCAGTCAAGCTACAGTTCTATCAATTTTGCTGATTACTTTAGGAGCTTTAAAGGTCAGTTTGCTGACATGTGAGTTCCACCTTACCCAGTGGCTTTGGAACTGAATCCCTGGGGACAAAGGTCCATGGTATCCTCAGGCTGTGGGATACAGGGCAGGGATGGATCCAGGGGACAGGTTGTCATGATGCTAACTGAACTAGGGAACCCCTCAGCAGAGGGATGCAAGTAGCTGTCTCAGAATTGGAGGTATCCTTTCCACCAGAATTTGTTCACTTGTGAAAGGGGCATTAATCCAGGGTGCTGGAGGAATGGGGGGGTGAGGGGTGCTGGGAGTGGCAAACACGGTGATAAAATTCAAGGTAAAAGACTGCCTCCCAAATCCATTCGTTTGAACATTTAAATCCCACCTCTATTATTTGATGTGTTAAGAGGACATCACAGTCTCTAGAATTCACAGACAAAGCCCACAGTGGTCAACAGAGCCTGTGGGTGCAGCCACTTGTGTGTGTGTGGTCCTTAGCTGTGTTTCCTAGAAATCAGAAGGAGGGTTAGAAAGAAATAAAGTCTGCAACTCGAGGAGATGACGGAAGGCAAACCTGAAAAAGGTGGAAGGAAATAACAACGTGTGTGAAACAGAAAGTGGAAGAGGACAGTTGACTGAAGAAGCTAAAGCTGGAGCTGTGAGAAGACTGATGAGGAGACAAGAGAGAAGCCCTGGATGCACATCAGGAGGGAGAAGCCTCACTCCACGTGGGGCCCAGAGGTTGTGGAGGACACTGGAGACAATGGAGGAAGGCAGCGAAGCGCTCCACGACAGCTCAGGTTTTCTGCGTCTTCACGGGCCCGTTCTAATAACTGGTAACATGCTTGAACTCAACACGCATTGATGTGGAGATCTTCCTGCTCCCACAAAGCCACCAGGCTGGGAGTTTGCTGACCCTGTCCCTCCAGAGCTGTGGCCTAAGAGTGCAAAGCGTCAGGCCATGCCCGTGCAGATGCAGAAGCCCAGGGAGAGGAGGGCTTGTGAACCCTGCCCAGGGATGCCCCATGGGAGGGCTCTGATCTGAACTAGGCTGCACAGAGGGTGGGCTTGGCCTCAGCAGGCACCCAAGTTGCACTGATCACCTCTGAGTGAAAACCTCTTGGTGAAGGGGAAGATGCCCAGAGGCCCTCTGACAGAGGGAGGCTGGTACACACCCTCCTCGTGGGGACGGGACCTGCACCCGAACCCCTCGCCCTGTCCTGGAGCAAGAGGGAGACAGCGGGTCCTCCCTGAGACAGGCCCCTGGCTGAGCCCACAGCTTTGGATGGGCCGACAGCCAGGTTCAGCGGATCACCTGAGCTCAGCCACTGCCCTGTGACTGGAGTCCTGAGTCCCACATCCCATCCTGGAGCAAGAGGGCTGAGCACAGCGCCCTCCAGTTGGAGAGCTGGGGGGTGGGTGGGGGGCTGGGCACACTCTGCAGCCTACAGGGTCCCGGCTGGGCCTGGGTGTTGCTGCCAGCACCGGACAGACCCCATTCAGATGTGTGAGAGCCATGGGGCAGAGTGCTCTGCAGGGGGAGACACCCTCAGATTGGGTGGGGGTCTCAGCAAGGGCCAGCTTGTCAGGCAGTGGTTTCCAGGGGGCGTCGGCTCAAGAGAGCAGGTGGGAAGAACAGATCTGAAATTCCCAGTCCCTCTGGAAGTCAGGGTGCCCTGGTCATGCCCTGCTCACCCCTCTCCAGGGCAGCCCCTCCCGCAAGCAGGCTGCCCCTCCTGTGGTCTGAGAAGACTCCTGCTGCCACCTCCCCAGGAGCCTCAGGCTGACTCCTGGTTTTAGAAGGTGAAATTCAGTTTCCAACATGCATCTGAGCCTCCTGTTGAATAAGGCGGACCCTCACCTGCAAGCATCCCCTGCTGCCAGGTGGATGATTCATGGGGACACAGCTGCCGGGAGGGGCGAGCCAAGGCCCCACCTTGTGTCCCTGCCCTGCACTCGCCCCCCCCCCCCACCGCCTGCCCCCGAAACAGCTGACTGTCCTGAAGCTGGACTGAGGCAGCATCAGGTGGAGCAGACGTTAAGTGTCTGGGCCTTTCTCTTTCATCAGGTCAACAGTGTATCCAGCACTGGGGGGCCAGGATGAGCCCCCCGCCAACCCGTGTGTGACCAGGAGCAGCCTGGAGTCCAGCAGAGGCAGGAGAGGAGGCCCTGGGAGAGGTGAGCACCACGAGCTACCAGTGCAAAGGCCCTGGGGCCCAACACGGCTGGTGGGCATGTGGGATGGAGAGGATGCAGGGGAGTGGGTGGAGGTGATAGGCAGGGACCCCAGGTTCATGCTCAGTGAGGTGGGGGCCCTGGGAGGGCTCTGAGTGGAGGAGAGGTGCAGTCTGGCTGTCCTTGATGGGAGGGTGTGGTCTCAGGACAGGCTCTGAAGGTGGGGCTGGCACCCTTTCTGGCAGATGGGTGGGCCCTGGGGGAACCAGAGCCTCTGGAAGGGTGTGCAGGTCTGGCAGAGTCTTTGGTTTGTTAGAGGGCCATGTGCCCACCCTGACCAGGGATCACCTGGGACATCCCCCGGGGTGAGAGGATGCTGCCCTGTCCCAGGAAGGGTGGGGCCACTTAGTTCTTGCCCCCCCACCCCCACCCCCCGGATGGGCTCAGGGCCTCCTGTGTCACTCCTGCCACCGGCTCCAGCCCCGGCCCCACCCAGCCCACAGGTCTAAGCACAGCCTCCTATGTATGTCTGGGGGGCTGTCCCAGGAGCCTTGGGGGGCACAGCTGGACCAAGGCTCAGAGAGGAGCCCACACCAAGGAGTGCTGGGGGCCTCCCCTGCCCGAGCCCTGGGTGGCAGCGAGCCCAGAGTGTGGCGGGAAGGGCTGGCAGAGCAGGGACCCACCATGGCTCCTGGCAGGGAGGCCACCTGTGGTTCTGGGGCTGCAGGGCCACCCCGAGCCAAGACACAGCATCTCCTCAGGCCCCCTACCCACCCTGGGCCCCACAGGGGCACCCCTGGTGCTCCTACCCATTGGCAGGGTCCCAAGGACAGCCCCCCAGTAAGGGCTGCCCATTCCAGCAGGCTGGTGGTAGTTTTACGCGGCTGCTGCAGGCAGACTTGCTGGCTCCAGGCTCCTTGTCTGAGGCCCTGTCTGTCCTGCGACAGACACAGGGCGCCTGTTTGCCTGCGAGCAGGAACACAGCCTCTCTTGTTGGCACCTGGGCCGGCCAGGCCCCCAGGCAGGCGGGAGGCCTCCACACAGATCCACACTTGTGCCCACCTCAGCCTGGCCTCCTAGCCTGAACCACCTCATTCCCACTGGGACCCTCCACAGTGCGGCAGGCGCCCCGGATGGTGGGGGGCAGGTGGGTGTCCACTCACCACTGACATCAGGCTGTAGAGGTTCTGGGCCACAGACCAGTAGGGTTGCCAAGCAACACACCATTAATCCAGTTCAACCTGCAGTGACCGGGCCTCAGAATCGCTGCCCTGGGGACCCCAGCGCTGGGGCTGACTGCCCTGCTGTCCCATCCTCCCACCCTAGGTCAGGGAGCCGGAGGCTCCAGGTGTGAGACTGGGCAACGTGGTCACAAAGGAGGGGAGGAGGCACATCACTCAGGGCTGGTGGGGGTGGCCCACCCAAGGAGGACAGAGGCCCTCTGTCCACACCTTCAGGTGCTGGTCACTGTGGAGAGCGCATGTGGGTTCTGAGAGGGAGCCCTGACTACTTCCTCGTGCAGGACCCTCCTGGACGTGGTGGGGACCCGCTTGGGGGAGCAGAGAGGAGAGGCAGGTTTTCTTCTTGGCCGCATGGGCAGGTGGTCCTGGGACAGACCAGAGCTGGGTGCAACACTGGGATGCTGGTGTCTGGGACGGGGGGTGCCTGGTGACAAGGGGTGCGATCTGGGTGGAGCGGGGCTGGGGGCTTTCTGGGGATTCCTCTGACGAACCCAAAGTGAAGAGACTTGGGAACCACAGGGACTGACTGTGGGGAGATAAGAAAGCACAGACGACCACCCAGGACCCTGGCAGCCCCTCCTCTCCGGGTCAGCTTCCCTGGATGTCCTTGTGGAGACCCCACTCAGAGCAGCCAGCCCGTGGTCTTCCCACTTTATTTCTTGGGGCACAAGCCCTGGGCCACCTCTATTCGGGTTTGGGGTACGGCCACTCCCGTGACCTGAAGTAACCCTTCAGGTCCTGAAAGCTGAGTGGGGGGAAGTAGGGGCCGAGCCTCTTCCGGATCCACCACTTGCCCTCAGCGGCGTGTGTGCCCCCGGGGCGGCTGAACTTGTACCTGTAGTGCTCTCCCCGGACCCACCTGCAGAGCAAGGGCAGCACAGTCAGCCTCCGCCCCCAAGACAGGCCTGGAGTCCTCAGAGGGAGAGGCCACCCAGGGGAAGCCAGAGAGCCCCAAGGAGCCCCTGGCACAACCAGGCCCCTGACCAGATGATGGCGGGGTGGGCGGGGCTCTGGAACCGGGAGGGCCGAGTGCTCAGAGCCAATCGGGCTGAGCCCTGCATCCTTTCAGCAGGTGAGTGGTACCTGAGGTTCGCAGACCATTGTGTCTGGGCATGTTTCCAGGAGGTGGGCCCAGCCCCCAGAGCAGACCCTGCATTTGGGGAGAAGCCCTGAAAGGCAGCTGAGGCTGCAGTTGGCGGGGGTGGGGTGGGGTGTGTGTTCCTGTCTGGGAGGGGAATCTTACCTGGGTGGTGCCCTGCCTGCGAAGGGGTTAAGGGCCAGCAGGGATAGGGCCTGGGCGTCGTTGGCCAGGAGCTTGCCTGCCAGGTGGATGATCCACTCGTTGTGCTCGTAGGTCTGGGGGTGAGAAGAGGACAGGGCACAGATAGCTGGGTGCCTGCACTGCCACCGGGCCCTTGGAGAGCCCCGTGGATGTGTGCTCCCTCTTGACGGTCACCCGGCCTTCAGTCTGTTGTCCTGGGGGCACCTGATTCCAGTGTGGCTGGTGGCCAGCCTCTCTTGAGGGGGGGCTGCCCTGGGGGCCTATGCTGCAGTTCTTTGGTTTGGGACCACCTCCTTCCTGTTCTTGCAGGGCCCCCGGTTCTGCTCGCTCTCCTGGGCACCGCCGCCACTGTGCTGTCCGCAGGGACCTGGATGGAGCGGGGCTGTTCCCAGTTCACCTGTCAGCTTTGTCACCTGCCGGGCCAGGGATTTCGGGCAAGTGACCGAGCCCGCTGGAGGCTATCTTCCTGGGCAAGAAGGGATGGCGACAGTGCTGCAGCCTCTGTGGACACTGGCTGCCCCAGCGTTGGCCACGCATGCCTCGGCCCCTCTGGTGGAAGCGCTCTGAGAAGCCAGCTGTGAGGCCCAGCCCTGGGCACCCACAGATCCTCGTGCGAGGGCCGTGCCAGGAGCCTGGGAAGGTTCCCCACGGGCTGTGCCCCAGCACAGGATTCCCGGGCCTCGCTGTGTCAGCGGGGCCTCCCCACCGAGGGCCTCACCTGGAAGGCGGCGAACCACATAAGCCAATCCAGGCGGTGGTGGTACGGGGAGATGAGGCATGGCCGCCGCTTCAGGTCACCGGGCTTGCACTTGAACTCGTAGTCCTCCCACTTGGCGTCTGGCGCGCTGGCATTGGGGCTGGCGGTGCCCTGCAGGATGACCTCCGTGCGTTCCTTGGTGATGCTGGGTGCGGGGGAGACCAGTCAGGGCTGCACCTCCCCACCCTGACCCCAACTCCTGACCTGACCAGACGAGGGCGAGGCTGGGGGGCTGCAGGTCAGGGCTGGCCTCACCCTCACATCTCCCCCCTGGGGTCATGGTGGCCCCGAGGTACCTGCCAAAGGCCCCATATGTGTTGACGATCCGGAGAGGGTTGAAGGAGCTGTTCATGACCTGCTGGGGGCTCAGCAAGTTGAGGACCACAGGGATGCTGAGCCAGGCGACCAGGACGCCCAGCGCCAGGTTGACTGTGTGCCGTGCCACGCTGCCTGCCGGGAGGGGGAATAGTGGGTGGGCTCCTGCCCCCAGGCCTGGCCTCTGTTCGGCCCCTTGGGCCCACAGAAGCCGAAGGAGGTGCTGCTGCCCCCACCACAGCAGCTCCCTCTTAGGCCCCCCCAGCTGAGGTCACTGGGCCTCCCTTCCTGAGGACCAGGACACAATGTCCATACCAAGCAGACAGGAGTGACCCTGTCCAGGCACGGAGATGCTGCCCTGTCTCCCAGGGCACTGGTGTGGGCACAGGGCTGGGTGCCATCAACTCGAGACCACCCAGGCTGCCCAGCCGCATCCGCCTTCAGGTGTTACCCACCGTGTGTCCATGGGGCCCTGGCCCCTCGAGCTTCCTCCTCCTGCATCCTCAGGACTTGGTCCTTGAGGCAGCCGGGCCCCGAGGGAAACAGGAAGCCCAGAGTGGCATCATCGAAGCAGGCGAGGCTGGGCACGATGGTCAGCCAGTTCAGGAAGCTCAGATTCCCGCTGATGATGAGGACCATCTGGGGGTGGAGAGAGAGATCCCTCCAGCCACTGCATTTCATGTGCTCCATGGTGATGCATGGAGTCCACACCAGAGGCATGGGGGCTGGGGGTCCTGTCCTTCCCAGCAGCAATGTGCTGACCCCCAGGAGGCCATGGCCCAGGCCCCAAGCCCCCCCGACAGGCCACTTGCCCCGCCTCCCTCAGACCAACCCCACAATGTCTACATCCTAAATGATCTCAGAGGCAGACGCTACCCAGTGCCTCTGGTGAGGACCCCACCTACCAACACTGTGATTCCGGCCTCTGACCCTGCTTGGAGGCCACTGGAGTTACACAACTGGGAGGTGACAAGTTTGTGTTTGTGGCAACTGTCACCGTGACTGTTAATCAACAGGCCCTGGGTAGCCCCAGGACTCCAGCTGGCTGCTCAGTGGTCCACCCAGGTGTCGGGGCCAGGACCAGCCCCACGCACCTGTGGTACGTGCCCCTCACAGGGGTGGGGGGTGCTTAGGACAGGCTTGTAAGTTGTTTTAGTGACTTGAAAATGGCACCTTCCTGCCTGATTTTGACCCTGTCGTCAAGGATGCAGGCGGGAATAGGGAGTGGGTGGTCTTCACTTGAGGGGAGGAGAAGATGCGGGTGGGAATAGGGAGTGGGTGGTCTTCACTTGAGGGGAGGAGAGGCTGCAGGGTTCACATCCCGCCCTCCCTACCAGGTGCCAGGCTCTCCTAGAGCAAAGGTGGAACAGAGCAGCCCCGCTTGCCCCCCCGGCAGACGCCTCTGATTGTGGAGCCCCAGGGACCCCAGTGCCAGCTGCACGCAGAGCTTCCTGTGGGCTGCACAAACGCGGGTGAGGAGATTCCAGGTGACCACAGTGGGAGGGCAGGCTGGAGGCTGGGGAGGGCAAGAGGCAGAGCCGAGGGCTTCTGGGGTGCAGC